ATTATTGTTTATCCTTATGAAATATTATGTGTTATTATATTTAATTAGATTTAGTAATTCTATATGTGTTATCACATGTACTTATGTTATGTACCATAGTAATTCTATCTATGTGTTATCTTGAAGATACAAATGGCTGCTCCAGATGATAACTTGAGTGATGACATAATGGCGGATATTATCAACGCCGACACCAATGTGGATGTAGATGACACGAGTCAATGATTTCTGCGATTATGAGGATATCCTGAATATGCGGGTGGTTGAAGATCAACAAATTGTCGCAAGAAAAAATTTGGCGAGGTATATTCGATTATCTATCATCTCTTACAGATGCATGCGTACGTATATTTGTTGTTAATCGTTGTGTTTCTACTCATGTAGCCGGTCTCTAGATCTACATCAACCACCGACAAAAGTAGGAAAGTCCGAGGGCCAAAAAAGCCATTAGAGGGCTGTTTCATAATATCGAAATTAAACACCGACACGGCAAACCATTGGGACCACATGCTCGGACATATGTCAATCAATGTGGGTTCATTGTAAGGATAGGATCCCGATTAGTGCTCGTGAATGGAAGCGTAAGATATCCGCTCCTAATGTTAGTTTTGTATCCGATCGTGACAAGAACCTAGCTTGAGAGATATCACTCAGCATTTCACATTACAAGCAGATGATGCTTTGAAGGAGCTAGTGAGGGATTGGACAATGAAGAAGATGGCAACATTGTTCCAGAGTTGGAAGAAGACATTGTATAAAAAGTTTATCTTGAAGAATGCTACGCCGAATTTCAATGCTAAGGCGTTTGTCAAGTTGGAGTTCCATTGGGATGCCTTCGTAGAATATAAGACATCTCAAGACAGTGAGGAACGTGTGATGAGGAATCGGCGAGAATGCCCGATGTAACAATACCATCATCGCATGGGATTAGGTGGTTATAGGAGTGCTATTCCCAAGTGGCGTAACCTAGAAGCGAGATTACCGCCAAGGGAATCATACACAAACAATAGAGAAGAACTGGCCTCAACGCGAAAGAATTGGTTCTACGCTCATGGGGAAGCCTAGACCCGATTAACGGCAAGCTAATTTTCGGCCAAAAAATTGAGAGAGCAACACAGAGACTAGCTCGTGCTAGGGAAGAAGCTGATAGTGGTGTTTTCAAGCCCAACAGAGAGAAGGATGAATTGACATATGCCCTAGAGAATCCCGAACACGGTGGTCGAACAAGAGGCTATGGAGCGGTTCCGTGGCTACACGCATTCCCAGCAGACAAGGATACCTACAGAAGCCGCCAGAGAAAGAAGGATGAGGAGGCAGAACGAATCCGTGCATTGGAGCAATTTGTTGATGAGTCACGACAAGCATTGCTTGAATCATGTGAACGAGAAAAATCTCTTGAGGCAAGAATGCAGGAGGAGATCAAGAGGCAAGTGCAGCTAGCAATGAGTCAAATGCAATCGCAATCAACGCCGAGAGTCACCATTAGCCCCGTTGGTCAGATGAAAAGCAGTTGTGCTTCTACGGAGCTGCCAGTTATTCAAGACGACGCTAGGTTGCACTTCCCTGTTGATGACATTACCGAGCCTCTAACAACATGTGAGCTGCACATTCCAGATGGTAATAATGCATCAATCATGGTGGCTGTCGGGGTTGTATCTCCAATAGACCGAATGAAGACACCAAGAATCCATGGGTCAGTTATTCAACCTGGATATGCTAGCGTCTCGATCGATAGAGTGCTCAAAGGTTACAGCAATGTTCCTCTTGACATTGAAGGCGGTGATGGGGAGAAGACACTAGGAGAAGCAGAGAAGACATTTATTCAATGGCGCAAATGCTTCATCATCATTCCTGGGGTGCCACCGCTTCCCCTACCTCACCCTAGGTACGAATGAAAGTGAATGAAATATTATTTTCCATTAATTTTCTATTGGCTTCAAAAATAATTGACACACAACTTGTTTTTGTAGCAGGGTCTCCCCCCAGCCTAGCCTAATCATTAATTCCCCATCTCATCACAGCGTCACGGGGGGCGAGACGACTTCATCCCCACGGCGATCGCCAACATCTCCAACGCCTCCACGCTGATCTCCACCAACACCGGCCACATCGCCTCCACGCCGGTCTCCAACACCGCCCCCACCCCCTCCACAACGACGCACTACAAAGACGTCTAAGGTCCCAGCGGCAAAGAAGACCCCGAGAAAAAGTTATTTCTCAAGAAATACTTCCTGAAAAAGACCGATGAGCAAATAGCAAATGAAGAAGACAAAAAAGTGAAAGATTTTTTATAGATACCAAAAACAAGAGTCAAGCGAAGCTTAAGGAGAAGCCGTACTTTTACCTACCACGAGAGGTCTTTGAGGCGGAAGGTCGATGCTCACAAGAAAAAGATGATTGAACTTCGTAAGCCTTCGCCACTATCAGACTATGACCGCTCCTCGTGAAGTCACATGATGCGTAAGAAAAGGAAAAGAGCATCGGGGAAGGATGTACCACAGCTCGGACAACAGAAGCAACCAATGCAAAATCTTATTGTTGCTAATGAATATGGTTCCAACATAGAAGTCTATCGACCAGACAACTCTGGAGAAGTGTCGGTTCAAACCCTTAATGCTTTTTTTAAAGATCTTGGTTTAACCTTGGATCAATTGACGGGCAAAGCTCCAATCCGAAACACGGAAGTTGATACCGGAAGACTTATAAATATGGCAAAAGTCTGTACAACCTCATGACTCTGAATGAATTGGATACGCAAAATATACTTGCTCAACAAGTGGTACATGCAGCGTGTGGCGGGGGGTGAAGCAATGGATCTTTGTCGATTTAGAGACCATCATTACTTCCGTGGCGATGACATCTTACATATTAGTTTCGAAGAATTGCATCAACTATTCCACTTGGATGCTCTGGACAAATCAATCATTAGCTCCTTTTGTTTGTAAGTGATTCTTACTTTTATTTAATAAACTCACTTCCATGCGTACGTGTATATAATTATCCTCACATGTAACTTATATTTATATATAGATTCCAGATGTCAGAGCTCCAAAGAATACAAGACACCAGTGTTGGCTTCATTGATCCTTATATCGTATTCAAAACCGGTATTATTGTCAAGGAGCGGTGGGTATCTGAAGCACAGGAGAATATCATGATGTTCTTCGTGAAGCAGCACGACAAGACAACAATACTTTTCCCGTACAGCTTTGAGTAAGTGTTAATAATAATGTAGTCTATACATTTTATGTAATATCAATACAACTTATATGCATGTACGTGTGTGTATAAACCAATACATGTTTCACTGGATACTCATTGTCATTGAGTTAAACTCAAGTCAGTTAGTAATCTTTGACTCATTGAGAAAAGAGCGGGCACTATACCAAGATATGATAGACATTATCCAGGGGTAATTTCGATCTCTCGCGCACAACTATTATTGAATAGACTTTGCCATAATTTATTAACGATCGTACATTATTGGTCGCATAGGGTTTGGAAAGAGTTTATTCGGCAACATCGCAAGGATTGCAAGGCACCACTTAATGTAGTTGAAATACCAGTAAGTTGTACTATATACACTTCCCCACGTGTTTAATTACTATATCGTACTTCAATTTACGTGTGAGATGATGAGAATAATCTTCTTCTCGTACAGTGGTGTTTGCGGCAGGAACTAGGTAATAACTTGTGTGGATACTACGTTTGTGAATTTATCACTACGCACATAAGAAGAACTCCTAAAGATGTCCTCAGAGTACATATATATCAATTTTTTTATTTATTTTTAAATGAATATATATATATATATATGTATTAATACTTTTCCTTTTATTTCAAATGTAAGACTGAATGGTTGAAACGAAGGGTCATGCAAAAAGACCATCTGAAAGCAGTTCAGGAGTCAATAGCAGGATATCTTCTAGAAAAAGTGCTAAATCCCAACGGCGAGTTCTACTTTGATCCTAAGGAATAAATGATGTAAATTAAATGTTTATTGATATCGTTATTTTCGAGAACAAGATTATGAAAGTGTTGTATATATACATATATATATCTATAATATATATAGGTTCATACTTTATTCGAATATAATAATGCTCGAGATGAGAATTAGATGTAATTATATGCGTGCGTGTATTTATATTAGCAGCGTAGAATACGTACATAAAAACATATTATATATTAAACAAATACGTGTAACTAAACTGAAAACAAATTAAAAAAAAAAGAAAAAGAAAAGGAACCTTTAGTCCCGGTTGGGGTTACCAACCGGGACTAAAGGGTGCGGCCACGTTTGCTCGGCTGGAGGGCCTTTAGTCCCGGTTGGTAACACCAACCGGGACTAAAGGTCCCTCTTTAGTCCCGGCTCGATAACCCGGGACTAAAGGTGGCACCTTTAGTCCCGGGATCGTTGTCCCGGCGCGGTAACCGGGACTAAAGGTCGTTACCGCCCGGGACAACAAGTCCATTCTGTAGTAGTGATGATAAACCTTTTCGAGTTCTTAGTTTTTTTTAAGGTTATTCAATTTTTGTGTTTATTCGTTAATCATTTCTAGTATGGAATTCGAATTGTTTTAACTCCTCTATGGGAAAGGTGGTCTAAATTAGATTTGAGAATAACAGGAAGAATTTTTTCATGAGTAGACATTTCCAGGGCCAATGAGAGTAATCTATGGTGTCTGATGGAAGGCTCAGCCTTATATGTGAGTTCCTTGTAGGTCGTTGGCCATGGATCCCTAGGTGACTAGGTCCTTGGTTCTTTTAGACTGCTAGTTGTGTTTCCCTAGTTTATTTTCTAGTATACTATATTGACAAAACCATGTGGTGCCAAGGAGGGGGTTTCTTACTTCCCTCCCTTTTGTATATTTTTATTCTTCTTAATAAAATGACACGCAACTATTCTGCATAGTTTAAGAAAAAGTATACTACTAGTAGTAAGCAATGTAAAGAAATAGAAGAATTTAAACACACAAAAATAATAAAATAATAAGACATTATGGAACCAGTCTATCGAAGAGAAAAAACAACCTTTTATATCCGAGATATTCCTGAACCAGAGATACAAAATCCCACATATTTACTGGTTCCATATTTGTTATGAAATAGGTCTGCAAAGTGTAAAGTAGCCAAATATGTCAAGAAAGTATAAACATGATACCAAATACATGCAATGTAGCGACGATGACTTACTTGCCCTCCAGCTATCTTTGCACCCTCCTCACTAGACAAAGTTTTCTCTGCACATATATGACTATGTGCAACATTTTCGACAAACACAAAGTCGTCATAGTTCTTTCCGTTACCAAGAATGAACTGAAACAAGTATAGTATTAATTTATTTTATCAATTTATATCATAAATATTATATGTTTATTGCATGCTAAGTTGACTGATCACATACACATTTTGTAGTATCGTTTATGTAATGTTATATTTTTGCAACGAATCTTTGTTATTTAAAGGTTTTTAATTTGCGGAATTTTATTATGCATATACAATTATCTCTATTCTGATTACATGTCGTCCTTTCCATTAAAGATGACAAATATAAATAGTTCAATAGAACTTCTTTCCCCAGCACCCCCAGGTGACTGGCTAGGTGCATAGTCAGACTGTTTCTCCTGGTAACTGAATATATGTGCAACACATCTCTTTCTAAAATCTAAAACCATCCCAAATCACACCCTGTTTATTTTAACCATGCGAGTTACTAATATATATATATATATATATATATATATATATATATATATATATATATATATATATATATAAAGTTTTCACTTTTATTTTTATGAAGTATTTAGACATGGGCATTGCTTATTTACCATAAACTTCCATATCCTTGAAGATGCTAGTATTGGTATATTTTTGCCACCAGGCCCAAAAATATTGCCAGGACGTATACAACAAGTGAGAAGGCCTGTTGTGCCATTAGCTTTCATCACTATCTTCTCTCCTTCTGCCTTAGTTTGTGTATAGGCATCGACGAACTAAAATCAACAAAAAAAATACCACATTAGACATGTATAGTATAGCAGCAGTTAAGTTATTCTTCTAGCTACTTTGTTGTACAAAAGGAAGGAAACATGTTTAGGAGAAGCTAATTTAGTATTCAATTAAATGCCTTCCTTCCAATTACAACTTTAGAGGTGTTAAAAATAGTGTTTACATTAGTGAGGACAAACCTTAAATGGGTAAGGCATTGATTCATCAGCATCAAAAAGGCCATGAACCCCATCAAATACAACACCACTAGAACTGGTGTATATAAGCCTCTTGACCTTGCACATGATACAAGCTTCAACAACATTCTTTGTTCCTGGCATGTAAAAAATTCATACAATTATGAAGCAAGTAACTTTTAAATTGTGGTTATGATGGGTTTTTGGAAGAATATTTTTATTGTTTAGTACTAAATATTAATAATAGTGTTATAATTTACAATGCAATATATTGTCAGGAAACAGTTACGAATTTAGATATCTACCATGACATTTTAATTTGTACTATGGCAAACCATTATTATATATGTGTAATGGGGTGTCTACATATTTTTTTATCAAACATTTTAATGAATCATATGAACAAAAAATAAATAAATGAGTTATCAACTGCTAATGCATAGAAGTTCCATTAACTTTAATTATGTAGTTGAACCTTGAACGTGAACCTAGCAGGGTTCAAGAGCTCACCATATTAGTCAGCATATTACCAGTGTTACTAGATACCATGCACTACTGAAATGGCATGAAATGGAATATTTTGTCACATGGAGTATACTGTAAGTAATAGAATCTAACCTTCAACATTGACAGAGTAATGAAGTTCGAAGTTTTCGTTAATTGCATCTGGAGCAGCCGTATGGAAAACAACGTGTACCCCTTCAAAAGCTGAATAAAATAGCAATTACAAGTGTAAGTGCGACCTGATGAAAAGACCTAAGCACGAGGAGAGATGAAATGGGGCTCAATTGGGTATGATTATGAATAAAATTCACAAGTCTATACAAGAAGCTCATTATATATAGCCCAACAAGCAAGCAGCAGGCGCACAATTGCAGCTCTTGTGGCTAATTATCTAGCAACAAGAAGCCCATTATAGCCTAACAAGCAAGCAGGAGCCGCATGATTACAGCTGGAGCCTGCTGCTGGAGATTGCACAGTATCGTACTTACCTCGCCTCCACGTAGAAGAGAGGAGCACACAAGTGGCTATATAAATAGACCAAGGTCGTCACTATTGGTTCCTTCCAAAACACACAGGCATCTGCATATTTAAAACAAAAAATGCGGTCTCGGTCGGGCAGAAATTTTTCTATCCTATTTTCATGCCTAGCTGTGGACATGGACGACCTGTTGGGTACCCCATGACCCGAACGACCATGGATCTAGGCACAAAATCAAGCTCGTGATGATCATGAGTTTTTAGTGGACGGCTTTATGTTCATAGGCATGTGTTTGTTTGGCAAACCCACAAGGGTTTGTGCCCGTTGCCATCTCGAATCGTTACTGTCTAAGATGCAAAAGCGACGTGTCTGCCCTATGCTCAGGAATAGGGAATCCAACAACCACCTCTTCATTTCCTGCTAATACAGTTTTAGGTCTGGTAGATGTTCTTGAGACTCTCAACATCCCCTGCCCGGCACCCTTGAGGAGTCAAAGTTGATATGTGCCCTTGAGTAAAGAATGTTGAGAGATTGTCAAGGTGATTGAGGCTTTTCTGATTATGTTTTAACTCATATATGCCTAATTATAATAGCTAGCCAGCAGTGTTGTTTGTGTTGTGTGGAAAAAACATATCTTGTGTTGTGTCTCTTCGCTTGTGAAGTAGTATATATAAGTGATGGATGCGATATGTTCATAGGAATAATTTTAGCTGCTAACAATCAGCAATATTGAATCCAAACAACCTTTACAGTATAGTAAGGATTAAATATTTTTTATATAAATTTAGTCAAAATTAAGACAGTTTAGAATCATGTCTTTCCAGTGACAGAGAGAGTAGCTTACAGGAGTGCCAAAACAACCTTTGGTGATCTGCGCGAGGTTACGGACGTCGCCCTGGATGTAGGAAGCCCGGCCATCCTGGATGGCAGCTCCGAGGAGCTCCTTCGCCTCGCCGGCGCCAAGCACCACGGTGGGGGCGAGGTCGACCACGCGCACGCGCACGCGCCAGTCGCCGGAGCGGAGCAGCGCAGCCACGAGGTACCTCGCCATGAACCCACGGCCGCCGGTTACCGCGCACCACATGCCGGCCATCCCTGTACTAGACCACACGGCGCAGCACGCACTATACACCGGGGGGGGGTGCAGGCTAAATATTAGACTACTCCAAGCAACTTTCAGAGTTACCTTGCAAGGAAACTCAAGATCGAAACCTGCCACCTATCATACTTAAAGCTGGTTTTTTAATAAAAAATAATAAAATATTTGATCTAAGATGCAAGGCTAAATATTAGACTCCTGCAAGCAACTTTCAGAGTTGACATACGCACATGCATGTAGCTCGCAAGGAAACTCAAGATCGAAACCTGCCACCTATCATTAAAGCTGTTATTTAAAAAAAATAATAAAAGATTTGATCTAAGATGCAATAATTAATAAATATGTAATATAACTTTCTACGATTATATTACATCTAGTATGTTTAGCGAGGTTCAAGCTACGATTATATTAGTTCTAGCATATTTTTTATTTTAAACTAACCCGACGCCGTATGCGTGCATCTCACATTCTCATTAGCTCTTTCTATTTGTGTGTGTTTGAACTACACAATTCAACGCTCGTGAGTCCCATGCAGGATTATCCTGTATATACCGAAACTAATAATGCTTCTTTGTCTCTTCTTCATACATCGTCGGTGCTGGCAGCATGATCGTCGTGGATATATATCTATATACATAACGAGGGTATATTCAGTAGCCAGCTAAAAAATAAGTTATTCTGTGATCACATCTATTTACGATAATTTTATATACTAATTTACGATAATGTCAATACATATTTATGATAGTTGGGTTACTATAACACATAGGGATATTTAACATAACATTATAGTAAACTACTTAGTAAGGAGTTACTATAATCTCGTAAATTAATATAGTAATTATCGTAACTCAAAGTGGCTACAAAATAAGTTATTTTGTAGCCGGCTACATGATAGTAGTTATATATACGGTAGGACTATTTTACAGCTGGTCACAGAATAACTTATTCTATAACCATCTTGATTTATGATAATGTTTGTACCAATTTATGATAATGACAATACACATTTACGATACATGTGTTATTATAATTAAGATGATACTTACCATAATACTATAATAAAATCACTTATAAGGAAGTTAACATAATCTCGTAAATTAATATAGTAATTATCATAACTTAAAATGACCACAGAATAACTTATTCTGCTGTCAGCTACATAACAGTACGCTATATATAGCCAAAATAGACTATTAAATACGTTGAAACCAGTCCTTCTAGCACTCATCGATGAAAACAACCCAAACTGTAGCGAACGATAGACTATTAAATACGTATACGAACAGTGGGAGCGGTAGCCCGTAGCCGGTAGGGGATCTTCAATATTTAGGTCTGTTTGACTGCTTTGTAACCTTTTATTTACGACCTGTATTTTAAAAAACATAATTCTAGATGCATTCTTACTTTTATGTCTAAAATTTAACAAATATATGAATGAAAATATTAATGTTTATGATACAAATAATTATAGTATAAAATATATAGATAAAAATATTAATGTTTATGTATTTTTAGTTAATACTCCCTCTGTTTCAGAATAAACGCACATCTTGCTTTCCAAAGTCAAACATTTTAAAGTTTGACCAAATTTATATAAAATTGTACTAGTATTTGTGACACTACGTAAAAAATAATTTTTAGCAACGGTTCGAATTTTTTTTGTAGGGGCAGCTGGTGATGGAGCCGTCCCTACAGTGACATGCTCGGGTGCCCAGACACCAGCCGTCCCTACAAATGGAACAGCAGGGGCGGCTGGTAATACGAGCCGCCCCTACAAATAGGGTCTAATTTGTAGGGGCGGCTCAATCACCAACCGCCCCTGGAGTTGCTATTTGTAGGGGAGGCTGGTGATTCAGCCACCCCTATAAATGCCCCCGTATATATAGCTCCGATTTATAGGGGCGGCTCCATCACCAGCCGTCCCTATAAATGACCCTGTTGAGACTTGCAGTCTCAGACAATGTGGAGGAGGTGGAGGCCTCCGCCCGCCAGGCGCTGCCCTCAGGCTGAGGCTCGGGAAACAGACACGACAAACGGGCGTGTAGGGAAATGACACGTAAAACTAGGGTTTTATTAATTCATTCACCAACCTCCCGTACTGTTATAAGTGTTCCTTATTTATAGGGCTCAACTACTACTTTACAGAGTTTACAATAGTACTCTTCAACTGCTACAGTATATTCTCGGAATATTCCACTACTCGTCTTTCCTCTTGGGGGTAATCTTGTCATGCCGCCCTCAGGTACTGGGCCTGCGCGATCAGCCGGCCCATCAAGCCTCAGGATTCGGCGACGGGCCTTTGGACCTCCGCCGTCGGTCTCCGCCCTAGGGATGCCGAGGCCGCAGACCCCCGACGCCCAGTATTAACGTCATCCTGCTTGGGTCTCTGCCCCTACGAGCGGAGGCCGAACCGGCGCGTCCGCACCGTCCACGAGCGCCTTCCTCTGGTTACCTGCACACACACGTAGGTAACGTTGGCACTTGATTAGCCTTGTAGCGGGGAGGCCTTCGCCCCCTCCACCCGGAGACGCCTACGAGCTAACCGGGCGGAGGCTGCGCCAGGGTCACCGGCAGCGTCCTGCAAGCAGTCTGAGAAACCATCATCTTTCTGGGTCTGGAGGCGTGGTTGCTGGGCCTTTGCTAAGGTAGTTGGTCAGAGACGTCTTTGCGAACTGCTGGCCGCATAGGTCTCCGCCACTCTCGGAGGCTGTGTTACAACAGTTCCCCCCTTTTGAGACCGCGGTCCGTCCGAGCGTGTCGTGAGCTCAAAACGCCCTAAGCAAGGGCGTCCGCGGGGGTGGAGACTGCGCGTGGTCACGTCTCCGACCGATCCCCGCAGGTTCCCCCCTGGCCCGCTCTAGCGTGGCCGCTGGTCTTGTCATAGTAGCCGTTAGGCTGCAAAACTAGCCGTTGTCCTACGCTGTGGCCGTTTACACCGTATTTCTTTCTATTGTATACCTTGCAACTTCTCCGGGGATGACCGTTGGGCGGCAGGCGAATTCTCCGGAGATGACCATTGTATGGCGGGAGCCGAACCGCCCGCCCATGGCCTATATAAGGGCTAGGTTGGTGGCGGGGTCCCCCCCCGCACTGCTCATTCCCTTTCCTTGCCTCTGAGAAATCGCTCTTTGCTCTCTTTGCTTTCGCCTGAGCTGCGTTCGCGCATTCTGTCTTTTCGCTCGCGTCTTCCGCCTAGGCTGCCGCCGCGGTGGCTTTCTTTTCTGCCTCCGCCCATACTCACCGGCCCACCTTCTTTGGACCCTATCGCCACCTTCTCGGTGTTAGGGCCACCGGCTGGAGTGCGCGCTTTGAGGAGTGCATGCTTGCCTCCGCCTCCGCGTTGGAATTTGAAAAGCTAGTGGAGGAGGATTTGGGGAGTGTCTCCGCGTCCGTCGGAGACCTGATTGCTGCGGATTCCAGTGACATGGCGATAAAGTCATGGGATTTCAGCCCCTCCTCCATTACTAAAGAGGCGGTCGCGGAGATGTTGAAGGAATCGTATTTTCCTTCTTCGAGGGTAAAAATCCCTCCGCCTGGCCAGACTGTTCCGGAACCGGAGGAGGGATATGCGGTGGTGTTTCGGTACTTCTTCACCTACGGCCTCCGCCTTCCTTACATCCCCTT